AAAGGAAAAAAAAAAAAAAAAAAAAAAAAAAAAAAAAAGAAAGACAGAAAATGACAGGGGGACTATTCTAAAGAAACATGACAACCAAATGCAATACATGATCCTTGACTGGATCTTCAATCAGGGGGAAAAGCTATAAAGACTATTTTAGGGACAACTGGTAAAATTTGAATATGGACCATATATTAGATAATATGACTATTATTGTTAAATTTCTTGAATATAATAAAGGCATTGAGGTTATGGAGGAGAATTACCTTGTTCTTAGGAGATATATGGTGAACTACTGATGGATGAAGCAGTCAAACTTACTTTCTAATGATTCAGGAAAAAAATGTGTGTATGTATTTATAGAGAGAGGGCGAGAGAGTTAAGCAAATGTGGTACGATGTTAATTGGTGAATTTACGTGAAGGGCATATTTGGGTTTGTTGCACATTATTCTTTCTACTTTTCCATAAGTGTCAAATTTTTCAAAATAAAAAAATAAGAGAAAAGGTATAGTACTTCACTATGGTAGAATCCAAAGGTTTGATGAAACAACAATGGAAACAGAAGAATTGAAAGGGCAGCTTGGAAAACTGAAATGCATCAGCTGGGAAAGAAACTTGAAACGATGCCCTCAGTGCTTGAAAAGGAGCCCCAGGCCAGCCGCTGGCCGCAACAGGTCAACTGGGGCTGGCAGAAGGAACAGGAGTAGATGAGTGTTACTCTTCATTCCGATCACAGTCACCAAGGTATTTTTTGGTTTTAACTAGGTTTTCCAAGTCTTCTTTCCATGCAATAGAAAAGATTTCTCATTGCCTGCTCCTACATCAAGTTTCTAATACAAATTAGATTTCTCATAGGCTACTAGACTCTGTCCTGTGCAGAGAGCAATCTGCTAACATTCCCTCCCACCCCAGTCCCACCCCTACAATTAGATAGTTTTTCTCAGTTTGGATGCCTTGGGTAGAATTGTTGTTAGGAACCAAGAATTCAATTTAAGAGAAAAAAGATAAAGTCAAATAAGTTAAAGACCATATGGTTAAATTTAACTTGGAAATGACCATATAAACTCATAAGGTTTTTTGTTTGTTTGTTTAACACACATCCTAGCTCTGTCCATTAAAAAAGCCTAGAAACAATGACAAACTAGTAGCACTGTAGAGTTCCAGTGCCCAGATTTTGGTGTCTAAATACCAGTTCCCACTAAAGGGAACACCAGGACTCCTTGGAGAAATGGGTGATTCCAGGCCTGGGGCAGGAAATGTGTAAGATGAGCCCAAGACATCTTGTTGCACCAGGGAGCAGGAAGGTATCAAAGATTAATGGAGATAGGTCAAAAGGACACTGGAGCCAGCTTAGAGGAACCCCCACTGACCAAAGATGCCACATCCTGAGCATCAAGAAGAACATTGAGAGCAATTTATTGAAATACATGTAATATATTAAAACCATGAATTTGCAATGATACCTTTCTAAAAAGCTCAAAAAGTGGGAAAGCCATGTCATCACTAGCTAGTGAATCAACCTGTTATTCTGAAAATGTGTAAACAAAGGACAACAATGAAGCACTGACCCTGACTTTCCTTTACAAACCAAATTGCCCTAGTTGATAAGGGAAAGCTCTGCTTTAAGGAACTCCAACCAATAAATGTAGAAGGAATGACAAAATTTGAGAATCATTTTACGCCCCCTAATGAAATGATTAAAGCAATGATCAGCAATGGACACTAAAAGCATTGGAAAAAAACTGATGGGGAACTAGCTATTTACAGGATGACAAAGTACACCATGTAGACTATTGCTGGTCAGAAGAAAAACTGAACTTCACAATGGAGAGATCAGGCTGTCACTACTTGAACCCGCACATAAATTTCAGCATCACTATGAGTGGGACAGCCTGTACCTCCTGATATGATGCAATATCATACAATACAAAATACTTAGCATCACCTATGTGGTACTCTCGCCACATATGCTGAAACTGAATCTAATAAAAGCTTTAGATCAAACTTCAGTTTATAGAAAACACTAGAGATAGAGAAACTAGTTAAAAAAAAAAAAAAACACCATGAGGAAAGTGAGGAAGGAATAAGACAAATCCAGAAAGTGGGTCATTATACAGAATAACTGATGAAGCCTTTCAACAAGTTAATGATATGAAACAATAAGGGGGCAGTGGGTATACACAACTATTCTGGATTAAAACAGATTAAAGATGTCACACAACTGTGTGAATATACTAAAAGCCATTAAATTGTACACATTCAATGGGTGAATTATGTGGTATGTGAATTATATCTCAATAAAGCTGCTAACAAAAAAAAATAGACTTAAGAGACATAAAACTCAAATGTAATATGTGGACATTATTCGGATCCTGATTTGAATACATGATTAAAAAGATATTTGGGGAAAACTGGATATAAACTGAATATTAGAATATATTAAGGACATACTATTATTTTTGTTAGGCATGATAATGGTAACATAGTTAAGAGAATATCTTCATTTAAAAAAAGATACCTACACTAAAATATTTAGAGGTGAAATGTCATGTCTCGAATGTACTTTAAAATATTATAAATTTTCTTTAAAGAAAAAAAACAGATGAAGTAAATACAGTGACAGAGTTTGGGTATGTTGTCCCCTTAAAGCTCATGTGGAAATCTGATCCCCAATGTGGCAGTGTTGGGAGCTCTTTCGGTCATAGGGGGCAGATCCCTCATGAATGGATTAATGCTCTCCTTGAGGGGGGACGGGTAGTGAGTGAGTTCTCTGTTAGTTCCCATGAGAACTGGTTGTTTAAAAGGACCCTGGCACCTCCTCTCTCTCTCTCTTGCTTCCTCTCATCATGTGATCCTGCACCCACCAGCTGCCTGGCATGAGGGGAAGCAGCCTGAGGACCACACTAGATGCGGCTGTCCCAGAATCATGAGCCAAATAAACCTCTTTGTAAATTGCCCAGTCTCAGGTATTCTGTTATAGCAATACAAAAACAGACTAATACATATGGCAAAAATGTTACAATTAAAACTGTTAAGTCCAGATGATGGGTATATAGAAATTCATTATAGTCTTCTCTCCAGTTTTATGTATCTTTGGAATTCTTCAAAATAAAGAATTATGAAAAAACAGCAATTACCCTTTATTTTCACAATCACGAGCCACCATTACAAACGTTGCATCCAAAACCGGAAAAAATTCATCACCATGCAACTAAAGAACAAAGGAAAGAAAATGCAGATATAAGAAATGCATTTACTGGGAAGACCTACCACAATTCTAACAGATAACATGCATGCTTTGAGAAAGTCTTAAATTGGAAAAAGAGGAGAAGCACACTCATTAACCACCATCTGCTGAGGGCTTACCCTGAGCCAAGCACAGCACTAGGCTCTGAGAATGGCAGGATGACCAAGGAGCCTGTGGTCTGGCAGAGGAGACAGACACCTCGAAACGCAAAAGGTGCACTGTGCGAGAAGTGCTGGGACAGGCTTCGGAGCTGGGAGTGACTGGGACCTAGGGGAAAGGGCCACAGAGGCACCTTCTATATCATTGGCATTTAATTTGCTCACATCATGCAGAATCCGGGCTTCCTTCAGGGCCTACCTGTCCTCCTGATGGCACACCCACCCAGGTGGACCTCCCACCACACTCACAGACACTAGCATCTTCAGGGAACTGTAGTGTGCCAGCTACTGGCACATGTTTAAGTCTCCTTAGCCGAGCATAGGAACTCCCAAGAAGGGGTAAGATAAGTGACAATTCTGTGGATTAAGTTAAAGATTTACAATGCACATGCTTTTAAGGTTTTAAAGTGTTTATCCCCTAGAAGTCTGTACTTCCAGGAAAGTCATATCATAAACTATTGACAAAAGCTATTTATAACCTGAGGATATATTTGGTTCCCTCTCAACAAATACTACAAGCCTCATCACTACTGCCTGCTCAGGCCCTTACTGCCTGCCCCTCAACTGTGGGAACAATCTCACCAATCTCATTATGCTTCTGCCCTGTTCAAATCTTTCAATAACTCCTCCTTGCCTCCAGTACCTGGGCTAATCCCATTAACATGGCATACAGGTTGAGTATCCCTTATCCAAAATGCTTGGGACCAGAAGTATTTTGTATTTCAGATTTTTCTGGATTTTGGAATATTTGCAGAATAAATACTGGTTGGCATCCCTAATTCAAAGATCCAAAATGCTCCAATGAGCATTTCCTTTGAGCATCATGTCATCATTCAAAAAGTTTTCAAATTTTCAGATCAGGGATGCTCAAGCTGTATAAAGCCCTCCACAGCAGAACTCCAGCTCTTCACTAAACACTGTCCTCATACCTGTACCTTCTTTCCTAGCCACTGCTTAACAACTGAGAGGTCCCGGGATACAGCAGGCTGTTGATCACCTCCCATCCATGCCTTTGCCTGATGCCTTCCTCACTGGCCTCACTCTTCAAGACACTCCTCCCATCTTGGCCCCATCCCTACTCCCCAGGCAGAGTTCACCATTCACTCCTGCCTTCAGCCACCTTAATGGAAACAAAGCCCTCCCTTGACAGTGGTTCTCAATGTAAGAGAAGTAGATACCACACCCACAGGTGGCATCTGGAAATGTGTAGAAGGGTTTTTAGTTGTCACATGACTTGTGTGGGCACCATGGGGAGCTAAACACTTCACAATGCAGGGGACAGGCCTGCAGAACAAAGAATTTTCCCCCACGAAATGCCAACAGTATCTCTGTCGAGAAATACTGCATAATAATATACTATATCATAATCATTTATTTATATGTCTGTCTCCTACTGCACTGAGATCCTTGAGGACAAAGACCAATTTTCTTCACATTTGTATCCTTAGCATTTAGCATAAAGACTGGCAGATAGCAGATACCCGGTCAATGTTTGCTGATGAATGAATGAAGCAGATTATTACTGAGCTTACTAGAAGGTAAACTCCAAGAGAATGAAACTTTGTCTTGCCTATTGCTGTATGCCTAGCATAGAGCAAGTGCTCAATAACCAATTGCTAAATGAATGGATGTAAGGAAGCAGCCTCGGTGACTCAAACCCAGGCCCTTCTATTGAGGAACATACAGTCTAGTGGAAGAGAAAAGACACATTTATATACAGCTGTGTAGGACAGAGTATAGCAGGTGCCAAAAGAGAGAGTACCGAGGAAGGAGTCTTGGGCGAGGAACAGGTGCTATGAGCTAGGAGGATCAGGGAAGGGGTCGAGCATGAAGTGACCCTGAAGCATAAGAGGAATGCGGATACGTGGTACCAGAGCACAAGGAATTTCAGGCAAAGGATAAAGCATAAGCAATGATACTCATTCACTCACTCACTATTTAAATTATGAACAACCTACTACAGGTTGAGCATCCCAAATCCAAAAATCCAAAATCTGAAATGCTCCAAAGATCTGGGCTTAAGCTCTTCTTACACATATGAATGAAATGCATCATGTTCTGGGCTTAAGCTCTTCTTAACACATCTTTGAGCATCATGTCAGCACTCAAAAAGTTTCAGATTTTGGAGCATTGCAGATTTCAGATTTTCGTATTAGGGATGATCAATGTGTAGCACCAGGCATTGGGAGTACAAAGGTGAATAACTTCCTAGCCTTAGGATGCTCAGTGTTCAGTAGTGAGCACTAAGAAGGCATATAAAAGGTAAGTTGGAGGGCATATAATTGGAAAGGTAGTTTGGAGCTAGTTTATGGAGCATCTTGGACCCTAACTAGTCAAAAGAGTTTAGACTTTATAGATAATGGTCACTGAAGATTTTTTTAGACGAGGAGTGATACGATTCAAGATCAGCTTTGGAAGATCTGGTAAAAATGTGTAAAATTAACAGAGACAGGACAGACTAAAGGGAGGCAGAGATTAATTAAAAGACAGTTGAGGCACACACAAGAGGCAATGAGGATTCGAATAAAACACAGAGGCCAAGGGAGAGAAAGGATTCTGGTGAGTTGCTGTGGGTGAGGAATCTGCAAGATTTGGCAAAAATCTGCATGGGAAAGGAAAAGTTAAAACTATCACAAAGGGTTGGAGCTGGGGGAAACAGGAGGCAGGCAAAGGGGAGACTGGAGGAGGATCAGGATCTGACACATGCAGTTTGGCACACACTGAACTTGAGGTAGCAACAGCACATCTAGGTGGAGAAATATAATGGGCACTAAGAAAAGTGAGTGTGAAGGTCAAGCTTAGAACAGACACTTGGGACCACCTTAATAGTTTGATAATAAATTAACATTATTGCCAACAGTGGTTACTGTGTGACAGGTTCTATACCAAGTACTTCACATGAGTGGGTTTTTTTTTTTTTTTTTTATATCACCCTTACCACAATCATATGACATGGTACTATTACTATTTTCATGTTACACTTGAGAAAACAGAGGCTCAGAGAGAGAAGGTAAGTAGTTTGTCCACAGTCAAGTGGCTAATAAGCAGCAGAGCTGAGATGAGAACCTAGGTCTACCCAAACCAAAGGCAGAGTGCTTATCCCCAACCCACCTCTCTGGAATATGAGTGGAAAGGATCACTCAAGTCATGGGTTATTAGACAAATGGCCAATGAGGAACACAAATATTTTTTAAAATATGACATGGTACTATTACTATTTTCATGTTACACTTGAGAAAACAGAGGCTCAGAGAGAGAAGGTAAGTAGTTTGTCCACAGTCAAGTGGCTAATAAGCAGCAGAGCTGAGATGAGAACCTAGGTCTACCCAAACCAAAGGCAGAGTGCTTATCCCCAACCCACCTCTCTGGAATATGAGTGGAAAGGATCACTCAAGTCATGGGTTATTAGACAAATGGCCAATGAGGAACACAAATATTTTTTAAAGTTTTTACTTGTCTGACATTGATTTTCATTGGCTTGCTCTCTCAATAATTCCTATATTTCTTTTTCCACCTATTTGTCCAAGACTCAAATTGTCAAGATTCCCTAGAAGGCAGGTCCTATGCCAGGAATCTGCTGTGCATGGCACTGAGCAGGCTAGGAATTAACCAAGTATATTTTTTTTAAAAAAAGAGTGTGGACAAATCATAGCAGCATCCCCAGCAATGTTATTATATTTTGCTTTAAAAATAATATTACTGTCAGTTACATCACCACAGGAGTTAAAGGATTCAATCACTAACACATAGTATCAAATAAAAATATTCTTATCTATTTTGATAAATACCTTTAATTACTGCAAAGCAAGCTTCAGACTTTTTCTAAAAGCCTGAAAGGTTTTTTCTCCAAAAGGAGAAATGTTTCATAATTCCATAGCAAAAAAAAAAAAAAAAAAATGCATCTGAATAACAGGTCTACCAAATACCCCAGCATAACTGAATAAGTCATTCTTAAATAAGTTTTCCACAATGAAATCTTAAGCATACTCTGAATTATTTGATTTCTGTGCTGTTATCCTCTCTGAGCTACTTTTTCTTTCCAAATTTCTTCATTTGTTTATAATAGCTACTCTGAGTTCTGCTCATTAGAGGGGCTGTTCCTAACTGCTATGATAGTCCGAATAACTATTAAGGGTAAAACTGTGCTCCCAAAAAGATAAGTGGAAGCCCTAATTCCCATACCTGTGAACATGACTTCATTTGGAAATAGGGTTGTTGCAGACATAGGGTTGTTAAGATGAGGTCATACATTAAGGGTGGGCCCTTAATCCAATATTAGCATCCTAATAAGAAGAGAAGAGATACAGAGACATAGACATGCAAGACAAGATCGCCATGTGATGACAGAGGCGGAGATAAAATGAAGTGCTGCAAATAAATGCAAGCTAAGGAATGCCAAGGATTGCCAGCAAACCACCAGAAGCAAGGAAGAGGGAAGGGAACATTCGCTCCCACAGGTTTCAAAGGGAGCAAGGCCCTGCCAACACCTTGATTTTGGACTTCTAGGCTCCCAGCTGGGAGACAGTAAGTTTCTGTTGCTTTAAAGCCACCAGTTTGTGATACTTTGTGGTACAGAAGCCCTAGGAAACTCATACAGTTATCAGTCCCACTCACGCCTAACATAACTCAGACTTTTGTGAAATGCTCCTGGGCAAAACCAGAAACAAGAACCTTAACATGGAGCTTCACATGATTAGGAAGTAATAAATATTAAATGTAAACACTAAATAATGTGTCAGTCTTTCTCCGGGAGGAAAATATTAACAACCCACCATCTGTATGACATGAACTTTCAATTGTTTTTCTAGAAGTGGTGAGCTATATACTTGTCTATGAATAGACAGGTAAATAAGCTTTTTTGCCCTGAGACTAGCTGATTATATTTGAATAGTGGACAATCTTCGAGTGCATACCTGGAACATTCGCATCTTCACTTCCATGGACGTCTTTCCAACCCAGCTAACATGGCCACTGAACTTAATGTCCTGTTCTGGGCTCAAGCTCTTCCTACACATATCTGCAAAACAGAAAATCAACCTGTGTCCGAACCATACAAAAACTTTTCTGCACTGTAAATGGACAATTTCATTTGAAATCTTGGCAAATTAAACTACATTGCTTTCTTGTCTTCAAAAATAACTTTTTGGGGCCAGCCTGGTGGCGCACTGCTACAGTGTGCCGCTTGCGAGCACGGCGGCGCTCCTGCCGAGGGTTCGGATCCCATATACAGACCGGCCGCTCACTGGCTGAGCGAGGTGCGAGCGCAACACCGAGGATTGCGATCCCGTTGCCGGTCCCGGTCCGGTACGGGCGCGACACTGAGGGTTGCGATCCATTGCCGGTCACGAAAAAAGACAAAAAGGAAAAAAAAAATAAAATAAAATAACTTTTTGACATATAAAAGAAATCCATATGTCTTTTTGAAAAATGTACATAGTGCAAAGTCTATAAAAAATAAAACTGGAATCATGTAAAACCCTTCCACCTAATTATAATGAATACCTTGGTATATAGCATTCTAGACATTTTCATATGCACATATACATTAAAATTCCCCATAAAAAGAGAATATTTCCTCTAATCTCAATAATACCTTATAATTACTATGAATTCTAAATATGTACAGAAAATGATATTGCTTACCAATCTTGTCCACCAGGGCTGTAACTATTGATAAAGGAGACATCTTAGCTGAATGAATTTTGGTGTGCATGTAGCAAATAAGAACTGTAGGAAAACAGGAGAGTACCAAATAAAAGAAAAGCAAAATTATTTCTCAACACAATTTGCTCCCTGAAATCCATAAAAAGTCTCAGCTTGTTTTGAAGACCCAGCCCCCAATATTCCACTAATGATCTTACCCTAGGACCAAAGACTTTTATAAATTGAAGAGATTTGGATAACCTCTAATACGGCTGCCCTCTCCATTTTAGATTTGCTGAAGAAACCAAAGAGAAACAAATCACAAGAACTCAGCTACCTGTTTTCTTCCTGACTTTTTGCTAATCATGAAGCAATTATTTGCTCTCCTTTCCCATAACACCCATGGCTCCTACACTATCCCGTGGTTATCTACACATCTTCCATACTTTAACAAGTATTTATAGGTGCCAAGCATGGTTCTATGCACCTTACGAATATCAAGTCAGTTAAAGTTGTATTATATTTATGTGCTTATTGGCCTCCTTGCTTCCCCCATGATCCATTCAAATTTGTATCACCAACCCTTAGGACAGGGTATGTGCTCAAGAGTATATATATTCATACGTATATTCAATACTTCTTGAGTGACATTAAATCCTTCCATCTATGTACCTGCTAAAGGATGCACAGGGGAATGAGAAGCTAAAGGCAAGAAACTCCATTTAAAAGCCTTTGTGGTGCCCAGAAAAGAAACCATGTGGGTCTGACCTACAGTAATAGTAGTGGAAATGAAGAGAAAAGATTCAAGAGCTAAGTAATCAAAGTTGACATCATCAGTAATGGGATATATCAAAATCATGTACCACTTGACAGGATGCAAAAAGAACAGAGCATCTCTTCTGTGACATTCCTGCCAAAGATGCACATCCAGAAGCTAATCATGAGGAAGCATCAGACAAACCCAAACTGAGGGACAATCCACAAAAGAACTGGTCTGTAACCTTCAAAAGTATCAAGGTCATGAAAGTCAAGGGAAGAGGAACTGTTCCTGACACGACAATTGAATGCAACATGTGATTCAGAACTGGACCCTTCTGCCACAAAGGACCTAGGCAAAAGTTGAACGGGGAATTAGACAGTATAATGTATCAGCGTTAATTTCCTGATATTGATGGCTGTATTATGGTTACATAGGCAAATGTCCTTGTTTGTAGGAAATACATGTTAAAATATCTGGGGGTATTTTAACATGTATTTTAAAACATCATGTCAGCAACTTACTCTCACATGATTCAGGAAAAAACATTTTTTTATACTGTATTTGCAGCTTTTTTTTTGTAAGTTTAAGACTCTTTTTGAACGGTATTAAAAAGAAGAATTATTGGGCCGACCCTGTGGCTCACTTGGGAGAGTGCGGCGCTAGGAGCGCTCCCGCCGCGGGTTCGGATCCTATATAGGGATGGCTGGTGCACTCACTGGCTGAGCGCGGTGCGGGCGACACCAAGCCAAGGGTTACGATCCTCTTACCAGTCACAAAAAAAAAAAAAAAGAAGAATTATTCAGATTATAACTCCATTAAACAAGAATCTACATTTACAGGAAAAAATTATGACAATTCAGAAGTAGTAGATGCACTTCATTTTCTGTGCTTTTAGAATATACTCCTCCATTCAGGTTAAAGAATAAAAAGGCCCTTTGTAGTCATAGAATTCAATGCATGACTGTAAATATCTATTAGAAATAATAAAATAATACCAGTACCTCCTAAGCTGTCAAGATCCTCAAGAATCCTGCCAAATCTGTGAAATAAAGCAAACTGTGAATTAAATGAAAATCATGCTGCTCTCCCTTTAAAAATAAATAACACACTTTGATGTAATAAAAATGTTCTAAAATTGATTGTGGTGATGGTTGCACAACTCTTTGAATATACTGAAAACCACAGAATTGCACACTTTAAATAGAATTGTATGGTGTGTGAATTATATCACATGGTTGTTAAAAGAAAAAGGAAATAAAATACAAACAAATAAATAACACAGTAAAAAAGGGCCACATTACCTCACGGTGTTTTGAACAGTCAAATATTTCTCTCGTAATTCAGGTTCACTGCCCAAAGGCAAGAGAACTTCAACATAACTGTCCTTCATTCTCCTCGGTGGCAGTCCTTTCTGTGACTCAGCCAAAAAACTATGAAGTAACTTTCTTTCCTCCATTGCCTTCACATGGTCTCTGAGAAGAAAGGATGCAAGCTTCATAAAACAAGAGCAGTGCTATCCCACAATTCTAGTGCCACACAGGCCAGTCAGACACCATCGGAGGAGGAAAGGGAAGGTCTGGACCTACTTCATCTTCTCTCCCTTCCCTCCCCTCCTACCCACCACTTGGTAAAACTGAACATTTCTGTTAACATTTCTTAGGCTTGTAGGTAAGGAAAACATACTTAAAAGTGATATAGATATACCCAAATGAACTATATATTGACTTTCATCAAAAAGTTTATTCAAAGAATAGAATACTTGAAATCAAACGAAAAATCCAGAGATGGATACAATAGTGTGTATATATATGCGGGCTGAACAACAGCATGGCCACTCAATTCCATATTCCCATTTCTCACCTTGACAGTTCTCGGATTCTCTGTGCCCCAGCTCTCTCTCTCTCTCTGCCTTCAATTTCAGGAAAGAGAGACAGAGGAGGAAAAATGGACTATATCCAAAGGAAGTAGGGAAGGCAGAACAAAAGGTAAAGAGGAAAAGAACATGAAAAGGAGACAGAAAGGGAAGAAAAAGAAGAGAAGATTAAGGTGGAAGAGACAAGAGAGACAACGGGGCAGGGAACTAAAATGTTGACAATATCATTAATTAAGATGTCTTTCTAAGCTTAACTTATGGAGTATTATTGCCAGAAATGTTTAGCCTACAAAAAATATAGGACATAGAGAAAAAAGTTAAATGGCCCAGGTAAATCCAGAATGTGAAACATTCTCAAGACAAATGGCTTGGCCTCTTTAAAGTCAAGCTCACAGGGGCTGGCCGGTTAGCTCAGTTGGTTACAGCACGATGTTATAAAAGTCAAGCTCATGGGGAAAAAGCGGGGGGGGGGGGGGTTGATAACTGTCAGTCATTCTAGATTAGGGGAGACTATAAAAGTCAAAACCACCAGATGCAATATGCAATCCTATATTGGATCTTGATGTTTTTTAAAAAGCTATAAAATACATTTTTGGAACATTTGAGGAAATGTGACTATGGATGAGTAATATATTCTTAGGGAATTACTGTCGATTTCATTACATAAGAAAATGTCTTATTAGTTGGAGATACATGAAGGCTGATTTTGTTGTACAAGAGAATATATTTATTTATTAAAGATGTATGCTGAAGTATCATGATGTCTATAATTTACTTAGGAATGGTTCAGCTAATATATGTATATCAGCAAATTTAGCAAAATGTTAAGAAGTACTGAATCCAGGTGGTGGGTACATAGTTATTTACTCTTTCTACTTTTGAGTAAATTGAAATTTTTCATATAAAGAGTTTAAAAATACGTCATTAGATAATTTCTATACCAAGAATAGATTGTTGTATTATTTTTCTGATCTCATTTTAGCATCAAAATTCTGTACACCAAGAGGGATATGACCTATTTTACAGCACGGAAATATTGAGAGAAAGAGAAAGATAACATGGGAGACCCTGGTTAATTGTGAACTGATAAGAAGCAATAAAGGAGTCAAGTTACATGAAATAGAAAAACCAGGAGACTTGGGTTCAAGTTCCAAACCCTGATAATCAATCACTCAATCTCTCTGAGTTTCAGTTTTGGCATATGTAAAAAGGGAATAGAAACATATGCCATAAGCATGTCACAAGTTTTGTTATGAGAATCAGTGAAGTAATATACCTGAATGCATTTTGAAAAATGTAGAATATATGTAAATCACATTATTTTATGACAACTATGCATCAACTAACAAGTATGTTGAAATGTTGATATTTTCCTCCAATTAAAAAACCTCTCATCCCACCTCCAAACATGGGGCTCCCCATCCCTACAATGGGACCATCAACTGAGCCTAAATACAGCCTAGCACAACACCTTGGAGATGAAAGAATGAATGAACACAAGAGTGCATACCTCCAGTTTGTGGATGCTCCTACTATCTCCCGCAACTTATCTCGAACTGAAACAAAAATAAAGAGGTCACTCCATGAAACAAAGAAATCTCATAACTGAATTATGGCAATGAGTTCAAAAAATATGAAAGGCAATTCATGCACTCAGAAGATTTAAAGATCTATGAATATCCATGTAATGCAACAACAAACAGCTCAAGAAAGGGATCAGGCCTCTGCTTCCTGAAAACCTGAAATAACTACACTGTCTCCTTAGCACAGAAAAGAACATCTTTGTGCCAATCACTGGGGTTTATATAAACAAACAAAAAAGGACAACTTTGGGCCGGCCCAGTGGCACACTGGAGAGTGTGCCGCTTGGGAGCGCGGCGGCGCTCCTGCCAAGGGTTCGGACCCCATGTGGAGACCGGTTCCCGCTCACTGGCTGAGCACGGTGCGGGCGCAACACCGAGGGTTGCGATTCCGTCGCCGGTCCACGGTACAGGCGTGACACCGAGGGTTGCGATCCCGTTACCAGTCAGAAAAAAAAACAAAAAGAAAAAAAAAAAAAGAAAGAAAGGAACAAAAGGTACTTAAGACATCTGAACAAAAATCACTAAAATGCTAGGAGTAAATCAACCCCTTTCAATAATAACCCTAAATGTAATCCCTTTATGATGGAGATATTATGAACAGGATCCCCACCTGTCTTCTTACCAGCAGTATTAGATCAAATTACTTAGTTCAGGAACTAATACTAATATCCAAATCTGAGTCTCATTATAATTGATTTCTCATATCTTTATATTATCCTAATTGTTAGAAAAGTTTAAGCAAGAAAAATGAAGCAAAGACTTAAATTAATGTAAGGCAAATAATGCAAATTAATTTTAGTTAATGCCCACTGCTCAAAAGTGCAGAAGTATATTAGTGCTAACAAAATTTAAGCACTTAAAGAAAAACTGATACTAATTACCACACACACCATGAGTCACATGCGTAGGTGAACATGCTATATGGATAAAGAGAAAATCAATTAAAGAACCAGCAATAATTCAACACTAAAAAATAAATCTATAGTATTTAAATAATGTGTTAAGTTCATGTATTTTATTCTAACCTTTCAAAATATATATTCCAGTTACAGGAAATGAACTACAGTATAGACTTGTATATACTTGTATATCCTTGGTCCTTGAACTGATCAAAACCAAATATGGTTAGATTAACATGCACTTTAACTTTCATGAAAAAATGGCTGATTTTTCTATCAAACAATCATGTATACACTATAAATGTGGTGCACACTCTAATTATAAATAAATCATAGAAATCTGCAAAAAAATAACCATTAGTAAATTAGTCTTATTTCTGATTTTTTCCTCCTGAGTTTCCTGAATAAAAGAATGCACAGAAAGTACCCCAAACAGTACACAGACTACTGATGCTCACTGACATAAAAATATTACTACTTTAGTCAGTGTAAGAAAAGAGGCAGGGCTGGGGCCAAAAAGGGAAGTGGAATTTTAAATTTTATATACGATACACATAGACACACACATACACATGTACACACAGTCGGCCCTCCATATCCATGGGTTCTGCATCTGTGGATTCAACCAACTGCTAATTGAAAATATTTGGGAAATAAAAATGGATGGTTGCATCTGTACTGAACTTGTACGGACTTTTTCTTGTTAATGACAACTCTTTATAAGCATTTACATTGTATCAGGTATTATAAGTAATCTAGAGATGATTTTAAGTATGTGGGAGGATGTACATAGGTTGTTTATATGCAAATACTATGCCATTTTCTATCAGGGACTTGAGCATCCAGGATTTTGGTATCCGAGGGGGGGTCCTGGAACCAATCCCCCACAGATACTAAGGGACAACTATACACATACACACACACACACACATTTGGACCCTTTAAAGAAGCCACAATTTTAACTATAATGATACTCCTAAATTGATAAAGGCAATCCATAGTTTGGATATCATATTAGTAACTGAAATTAACTTCAATTAAACATAGATTAATGGAGTTCCTCTAACAAAACTATGGACTAGGAGTGTTTAGTTGGTACAACTGACAACAGGGTGACTACAGTTAATGACAAGCCCATCTCTTCCTCATGTGTCAGGTCTTTTGCCATGCCTTCAGTACCTACACACAGGAAGTAGAATTTACTTAACTAAAAGAGCTCAGGTTTCAAGGCTCCCAGGAACAATAGTTCAAATTCTGAATGTGATTTCTGCCCAAAGCTATTATACAACTACCCTGGTCATTTTATAAATGAGATTATTTATGAAAGATCTACCTTTAATATGCCTCATTTACCTGAACTATCGTTCTACACACCTCCAAAATAAAAGTAAAACAGGGTTTTTCAACACATAGGCATAAAAGGTAAACACCATACTTGCCTTCATGAATGTGGAAGATTCCTTGTTTGCTGGGGTTAGGGGGTCCTTGAGTCAATCCTCTGCCAGGAGTAAGCAGCCCCTTGCTCAAGGCACAAAGCCTGTAAAACAAGATAAAACACATTTAGAATAGGTTCCATGGCTTCTTCCCTGACAACCCCAAAGACCTACGCCTCTTCCCAGACTATCTGGCCATACCACACCTTTAGTATATATACTGTCTTGTAGGAGTCTGTAGTTGTTTCACAAGTGTATGTATATCTATCTGCATATGAGGCTACTCCATAAATCATCTCTCCAACTAGAGTAAACATTCCTTGAGAACAGAAACTAATTAGGTAATTATCTACAAAATAAATAAAAAATGTCAACCAGGTGTAATGGATTTATTCTTGCTCTCCCTATTTTATTAGCTTTATAAGCCCAGAATAGATTTGATAAACTGAATGAGTTAATTACGAGCATTGCCATATTTCCTCAATAAATAAGATAATCTCAATTATAAATTAATTAATTTTGAACATTGAATTAGCCCTTTCCAAACTCAAAGAAAGTATTTATTGGACTTATGCAGAAATTTCCTAGATCCCCAACAGAATAAAATAAAAGCTATCTACCCAAATGTGCCTAAACTGTTCTCCCAAAATAAGTTGTTTAAGTTTGACTTTGGCTCACTATTGTTTAAGTTTTGACCCCTAATCACACACTATCATGTCAGGGGTAACGCACACGTAACATCAGGGATTAACAACTGATCTGTGAGAGCACAGTTGAAGAAGACAAGCCCTGAAGAGGTCAAGAGCCCCAGATACTGTCATTCTAGCTCAAGTTACTAGCAAATTCTCACTACCTACTGTGGGGATAAGCAATGACTAGCCAAAAAAAAGTAAAGTATATTTTTAATTTTCTTTAGAGCCCAAGGTGCTATAGATTTCTCTTCTGATTTACAGGATACAGGGGGAAGTCCCTCAGTAAAAATATTTTGTAGGGCCGGCCCGGTGGCGCACTGCTACAGTGCGCCACTTGGGAGTGTGGTGGCGCTCCCGCCGAGGGTTCGGATCCCACAGACAGACCGGTTCCCGCTCACTGGCTGAGCAAGGTGTGGGAGCAACACCGAGGGTTGCGATCCCGTTGCCGGTCCCGGTCCGGTACGGGCGCGACACTGAGGGTTGCGGTCCGTTGCCGGACACGAAAAAAGACAAAAAGGAAAAAAAAAATATTTTGTAAAATCTACATGTAGTTTTGACACTCTTGTGCTGCTAGAACAAATCCTTATCCTCTCACCAAGTCAACTAATCCAGCTGCAAAGAACACATAAATATGACCACATGCTTGTTGGTTAATTTAACTCTTCAGCCATGCTATCCCATAGGATTGCCATAATGACATGTTAACATGTACTAAACCCTTAGGAGCATGCCTAGTACATTGACAAGTCCTCAAAAAAATGTAGCTATTATTCCAGAAAGTCATGTTTCTCTAAAGTCTCCCCTAAAGATCAAAAAGTAAGGACCAGGAATTTAGAAAGCAAAAGCCAGGCATTATGATGGACCACCTCTGAATGTAGAATCAAATGGAGATAGTAAAGAAAGAAGTAAATGAATATAGAGAAACACTTGGGTCAATTCATTTCGAAAATCGTGGCTCTATAAGCCCTAGTTCCTTGCAAGCTACCTTAAGAAATTTGGAAGTATATACCTGTGGCACAACAAAGGCATAATTTCAACACTTTTTAAAAAATTGTTGCTTATACCAATAGTATACAGTCATGTGTCGCTTAAGGAAGAGGATGCGTTGCTGAGACAGGCATCTTGGGCGATTTCATCATTGTGCGAACATCAGAGTGTACTTACACAAACCTAGCTTACTACACACCTAGGCTATATACTATAGCCATTATAATCTTACGGGACCACCGTCATATATGCAGTTCATCATTGATCGAAATGTCACTGTGTGGCACGTGACTGTATTTGTATAATAAATCTCTGTCATAACATGAACACAGCATTCAGGTAATGTTATCTTTTCACTTCAATTTGGTTTCCTATCTACTGATAATCTGATGAAAACCATGGACCCTCAAGCCAGGGGAGTGGGAATACATTTTTGCTCACACACAAAATGGTATACAAAGAGGTTCATAGACCACCTCCTTTTGATACCTCCCAGGAGGACCTATATTTAAAAATTCTGATTCAAACCAACCTCCTGAAGAAACTGAGGTTCTAATTTCAGATGACTTTTCCCCAGTGCCAGTCAACTGGCATATTGGCAAAGTCCAGACAGAACCCAGTTCTTCTGATACCTTCCAACACACACACACACACACACACACACTCTGCTCTTTTCACATCTCAGGTCTCAGGCTACTTCCCTTATATGTATTCAGCACTGCAATTCCTGGCTTATCTGCTGATAAGCCCTCAGGAGTCCTATAAAGCAAAACCCCTAGGCGTTTAGAAGAAACTGTCAAGAGGCCTTTGGGACACTCAGGCCCCAAGACCTCATGATGGGACCTTTCCAATGAAAGGAGACCAAGGAGCCAAACCTCTCCATGGCTTGCCTAGAGAGACACAGAAGTCACCGAGAGGCGTGAACAGAAATGTCTTGGCTCAGCCCTGGGTCCCAAACTTAAGAGTGAGTGGCAAGGAAGAGTTTTCAGTGCAATAACACTCATGTGTCTTCCACTCTGAGGAAATGTCTAAATTTAGAGACTAAACAAAGTCAGATGACTCTTTTATGAGTATGTAAAAAAAAAAAAAGCTTATAAAGGTTGCCCACCAGTCAAATGACCTAATTATCTCACACTATTTTTTGATGAACTCTTTCTCTCACTAGACACTAACAGAGTACCTTCAGTGGGGTTCACAAGAAAGGAATGCAGGGTTATGGGAGTTCAGTGCAAAGGAGGACTTCCAAATTGGGAGAGAGAAGCTCAAGAAAGGTTTTGATGGAGAAGGCACATGAAGAAGACTGTGGAGCTGATAGAAGGCCTTTCACATCATGTACAATGCAAAGTATAGCTGATCGTGGCCATTCTTGTAATGAGTTTCAACCTGTCTTCAATAAAAAGGGTTTTTTTTGTTTGTTAAGTACTATAAAGGAGAGGGAAAAGGAGAACCCTTTCAACTGCTAGGGAAGTCCCCAGAAATAGTAAGATCCAGGACCCCCAAGAGAACTGATGGGATCAGTGTCAGAACCACTATGGGCCACCCCAGGGGGGGCAGATCCACAGCAGCAGCAGCAGGATGACTTCAGAAAGCGAAGCAGGTGTGAGTCCCCTGGATCCCAGCCAAGCAGAAAGAACTTGGAAGTGCCGGCGTGTACTCTGGTGACATGGAGTGGGGGAGAGCCACTTACACCCTGAAGTCTACAGACCTCAGGCCTTAACTGCCCCGGCTGGGAAGATTACATTTACGAAAAAGCATCCTCAATGCCAAGTGGCCCAAAGTACCCCCCTTACAAGGGCCTTGATGCTCATAAAAGAAAGGTAAAGTTCAAATCAGCACCAGGGTCCTAGTCACACAGTCCTAAGGCCCTGAGAACTAAAAGGTACAGGCAATCTCTGTCGACGGCGTTACAACACACTTAAGTCACAATCCAAGTGCGTCAAGCATTTAACCTTTAAAAATGTCCCCCAAAGGAAGGCAAAGGACTAAAGGTGATGTGGAAGTAAAAATACTAGCTTTCTGACAAGAGGCTACCCTAAAACGGTTTCCACCCACAGCCCTGATGAGCAAAGAGAAAGGAATTTCAGGGAACACCCAACTTCCTCCCTTATAAGTGCCGCTTTGCTTTTAATTTCAAGCCCCTTGCCAGAAGGCGCTAAAGTGGCGGGGGGAGGTTCCCCACACCCTAGGCCGGCGGCCCGTGTCCAGGCGGGGTTGCAGTGGCGGACGCCCTTCCCCCCCAAGCCCAAATGCCCACGCATTAGTTCCGCCCACCCTGGCCCGCTCCTTCCGCCAGGGCCCGCTCGGAGGGAGGGCAAGGGAGCCCCCGGCAAGCGCCCCGCCAGGCCCCCCACGCCCCGCTACCTACCGCAGTGCTGCCCGCCTCATCGCGCCCGGCTGCAGTGCACGCGGCTGGAGAACCGGGCCCCACGCGCCGGTTGGCGTAGGGCAACGGAGGCAATGGCAGAGCGCGACTATCACGCGGGAACTCACTCCCCCACGACCGCGCCCTGGCAGCTAGGTCGCCAGGGGGCGGGGCCGCGCTGCCCGGTGGGTGGGGCCACGTCTTCCCGGGACTGGGCTGCCAGCGCCTGGCGCCCCCTGCTGGTTCATTGGCGGAAAGCTGGGGTCAGCCTCTGCAGAGCTTCACGAGCTTCCCACTCAGTCAGCTGCTCGGGGCGTGTGGCTAACTCAAGGACTGGCCTATTCCCGCCATCGGTAAGTAGATGAACCACCCAGCAACGCCAGGGCGTGACGTGGAGGCGAGGCGCGGCCCGGCCCCGGAGAGCTTGTCTTCGTTATCCTTGACCCCCACGCCTCGGCTCCCTGTCTGTGGTTCTTGCCCATGGCTGCATTTTGGAATCTCCTGGGCACTTTTCCAAAATACTGATGCCTCGGATCCACCCTCTAGAGACTCGGATTTAGTTAGTCATGGATGCGGCCTGAGCTTCGGGATGTCTAAAGGCGCCCCATGTGATGCTGACGTAACCAAAGGTTGAGAACCACTGACCTAAAAGGAGAAAATCGTTCCTCTTCTAATCTCGGCCTGCCCCCTAGTGTTTGACAGTTGGGCATCTTGGCCGATCTAGAGAGATTCAAGGGCATAGAGTTTAAGATGATTTCACCCTACTACCTGATTCTCCATTTCATTCAAAGAATTTTTATTGAGCTGCGTGCATTACGCCAGGCGCTGTTGTAGACACTGGGGATGCAAAAAAGAAAAAAAAGAAATGACAAAAATCCCTGCCTTTAGGGAAATTACCTTATAGAGAAAAAAACAAATCAGCAAACAAGTTAGCAAATAACTTAACTCCAAACATAGTAAAGCGGTCTAAAGAAGAAATAAAACAAGGTAATCTCTGCCAATCTTAAAGCATATTTAAGTCAGATTTCAAACGGGTCAAGCACCTAACCCTAAAAATGTTCTCCAAAGGAGGGCAAAGGGCTGGAGAGATGATGTGGAAGTCCAAATACTATCTTACTGACGAGGGACTACCCCAAAATGGTTTCTAACCACACCCCAGGTGTGGATCTTTGGAGAATATGTGCAAATCTTGATTTGCCCCTAACGACAGTAATTTATTACGAGGCTGGGGCCATATCATATGCTTTTTCAGAATACCCCTTGCTTAGCAAAAATTTGTTAATTTTAATTAAGCTAGCTTTTTGTTTTTAATCACTTCATGAGTTACAAATGGAGCATGGTTTTTGGCTTTCTCTTTCTATCCAACCTTCCCTCTTTTATCAATCCCACATCCAGAAGACTTCTGTTTCGGCCTGCAAGGATCTCTCAATTTTGTTCATACTGTCTGTTCCTTTTCAGTGACTGGTTTGCTATGTTTTGTGTAAGCTATACTAATTTATATTTCACTATACCTAACACACAGTGCAATAAATACTGTATTGAGTTATATTATTGTCGTCCTTGGTTTTACTTGAACTTTTGGTTGAAGCAATAGGAGAATCAGGGAGAAAAATTAAGTTCAAGAGAATTTGTCAGGTTACATACATGGCATGATATGTAAGGACAGTTTTTAATTTTTGTGCAATCAAATCATGTTCCATCAACTTCCAAGATATACAGCCAGACACATTCTCATCAGTATATAAACAGCATTGCTTGACTGAAACAGCTAAAACCAAGGACTCAATGCAATGAAGATGCCTTCTCTCCATCGCTTATCTTTTTTTCCCCTCTCTGAATAATGGCATTCTCCATATGGCAAAAGAAGCTCCTGAACTTTACATCTTACAACAGCAGCCACATGCGTAGAGACTGACTCAAATTTCTATATCCCATGTACAAAGAGTCCTTAGGAGAGATTTAATGGCTCTATTGGGATCAGGTACTCACTGCTGGTCTAGTCAACTGCGGCAGCAAGGCAAGGTCATGTGATTGGTCTTACTTATGGCTATTTCCATAAGTAAACACACAGATGGGGATATGGAGCAGTTTCTGAGGAAAGGAGTACCAAGCAACCGACCCCACAGATGTCCACTATAGATGTTATTTAAAGAGAAAACGTTATCTCATCATTTAGCCTATCTACCTTGGTTCTATTTTGTTTTATTTTATTTTATTTATTTCATTTTATTTTATTTTATTTATTTTATTTTATTTTATTATCAATATACAATGTAGTTGATTTTCGTGTCCTTTTACCGAATCCTCCCTCCCTACTCCCTCTCCCCCTCCATCAACATCATATCTGTTCGCTTGTCTTAACAAGTTCAAGGAATTGTAATTGTTGTGTCTTCTTCCCCACACCACCCCTGTTTGTTTGTGTATTTATTTATTTATTTTTGGCTCCCACAAATAAGTGAGAACATGTGGTATTTCTCTTTCTGTGCCTGACTTATTTCAGTTAATATAATTTTTTCTAAGTCCATCCATGTTGCTCAGAATGGTAGTATTTCATTCTTTCAGAGTAGTATTCCATTGTATAGATATACCACAGTTTCCTTACCCACTCATCTGATGACGGACATGTGTGCTGGTTCCAACCCTTGGTTATTGTAAATAGAGCTGCAATAACCACTGGCGTACAGGTATCCCTTCAACATGATGATTTCCATTCCTCTGGGTATATTCCCAGCAGTGGAATAACTGGGTCATATGGTAGTTCTAGCCTCAGGAAACCCCTGCTAGACCCAGCCAGCCCAGCATTCATCCAAGTGTCTCCAATTATCTCAATTTGAAGCATGTATAAAATTCTTCAGACAGCTTGGCAATCCTGATTTCTGTGTGTGTGTGTTGTTATTGTTGTTAAACATATGGAGGGTACTTCAAAAAGTTTGTGGAAAAATAGAATTAAAGGATAATACAAATCTTTCCATGATCTTTTTGAAGTACCCTGGTATGTTATACCACATTTTGGATAGCAGGGATGAAAGGTGAAGTGGTCACAAAACCAGACCAGGAAACATGCAACAATTTTATAGTGGTGAGAATCACTGCTCTTAAGTAACAGATTCTCCATCCCACCTTTTTGTTTCCTATTATGTGCCATTAGTTCCATTCTGATATGATTTCAGGGTAAACAGAAATGATATCAAATGTGTAATTCAAATAAAAGGTACCTAATCATGTGTTGACAGACACATAAGATATTATTGATGTTAACTACAGTGATATTATTGATGTCATTGATATTATATTATTGATGTTCCACTACAAGTAGAACAATAAAATCAAATAACAAAACCTAAAAATACTCATATGTTGTCAGTTCAATCTAGTACTATGAGTGAAAAAATATCTAGTAACCATCTTTCCTTGGGCTGCTGAACGGTATATGCTTTTGGATACCTGATTTAGGTAGAAAATGTTCTTGGAAAACTGTCATCAGCCTTCAAGCAAAGTTATTCATACTATAATTTCACTAGGACAGAGAAACCACTTTTTAAAAATTAGCTTATTTCCTGGATTATAAAGATTACACAAAATGATCCATTATAAATTTGGGAGGGGCAGAAGGAAAGAGTGGGTATTTTCCCCAAAAACATCAAAGAAAAAACCAGAAAGACTAGTGTGTTGTTACATTAAATTGCTTAATATTATTTTCACTTGCACCAACAGAAGGAAAGCCAGCCTAGGCAATTTAGAAACACGGTGATTTTTTTTAATAACTTTCTGATGGAGTTTGGATATATTATCCTCCCAAACTCATGTGGAAAGCTGATCCCCAATGTGGCAGTGGTGGAAGCTGTTTGAGTCATGGGGGCGGATCCCTCATGAGTGGATTAATGCTTGGGGAGGGGGGTAGTGAGTGAGTTCTCGCTCTATTAGTTCCTGTGAGAGCTGGTTGTTTAAAAGACCCTGGCACCTCCCCCTTCTCTCTCTTTTGCTTCTTCTCTGCATGTGATCTGCTTGTACCCGCCAGCTGCCTGCCGCTTTCCACCATGAGTAGAAGCAGCCTGAGGCCCATGCCAGATGCAGCTGTCCCAGAATCATAAGCCAAATAAACCTCTGCTCTTTATAAATCACCCAGTCTCAGGTATTCGGTTATAGCAACACAAAACGAACTAATACACTTTCTCTACCTTTTCCCAGCTGCACTTTTATGACTGTTTATCAAATCCAAATTTTGAAAGAGCATATTTTAGACATGCTCTTTTTCCTCTAACAATTTCCACTTGCTTAAAAATGGCAAACTTTTAAAACACATAATACTATTACTGACATGGGATCAGAGGGCCTCTTTAAGAGAGGACATCTTTATTTCAGGATGTCAACTTCAAAAAAAGATGTCTCTTTCAATAATATAGGGCTTAAACAGTAAAATTTCAATGAGCATTTCCTTATTCATGCCTAATCTTCCAATCATTCTTCACCTCATCATGCCCACCCTCCCTCTCACTTAATCTACTTCTCCAAAAAAGTCAGGTTCTCTTCCATTCATTCCTCATTCTGCATCCTATTTATCTCCATTCTCTTTCCCATCCACTTCCCATTTTATTCATACCAACCCAAGTGCTACCATTATTGCTGAGAAATATAGCCTCCTTTCAGACCCCAGGGGCAGGCTGCTCAGCTGGGCCAGTGTAAGATCGAACCCTGCCATGCCTTAGCCCAAGGAAAACCAAGTGCCCACCCATACAATTACAGTTTCCCCAGGATTCATAACCACGGAAAAAATGAAGCTATAAACATACTTCACTATCTTCACAGAAGCTCATGCTTCAGAGTGCACTCAAGCTCCTGAAACTTACTTTACAGTGAAGCCAGATTCAGTCCCTACCAGTTCTTGGGCTTCCTCTCCCTAATGCTGTTACCAATACCATTGCGTCTCCTCCCCACATGCCTCCCCGCTTCCCCCTTCACCACCATAGACACACACACAGATTCAGTGACATTTGAGAGACTAAGAATACAGGGACGAATAAAGCACAGTCCTGGGCCAGGAGAAGCATACAGTCTAAGGGAATGAGGAACATAAAAACAAATCATTGTAAGCTAATGACATTAACTCCAATAGAGGAA